GGAAGTTGGGATGAGCAATGAGTTAGATGACGTAGCCAGGTCTCTCTTCATCGGGCACATCCCTAACATCTGGAGGAAGCTTGCCCCCGACACCCTGAAGACCCTTGGAAACTGGATGCTCTACTTCCTGCGGCGGTTCAACCAGTACACACTGTGGGTGAGTGCCGGGCCAGTGTGGGTCTCTTTCTGATCACCCACCCACACCCGTCTTCCCAGTGTGGACCCCTGTGAATGTGTATCGGGTGTCCCAGGGATGCCCTCAGTTGCCATGGGGCAGTCTGTGCTGGTATGCCTTTGTGAGTCTGATTTACTATGCACATGAGATGATTTCATCTAAACGTCTTGGCATCTGTTCTAGCTCATTTTTAGGGTCTTTATCCTTCCTCCTAGGGGTAACATTTAGGTGGCAACTGTGTACATTTGTGTCACCAAGAGCACTGTGGTCACTGTCCATGAATGCAGTCAGTGTGTATACCATGTACCACAGAGCACACATGCACTTGATATATTTGTTGTTGTGAGATAGCCTCTAACTCTGTAGCCCAGGCTGGCTTGAACTGGTGGCAATCGTCCTGCCTCAGCCTCCCAAGTGTTGGGATTACAGGTGTGAGCTGAAGTCTGTCTGGGTTTTCTAGAAAGTCAAAGTCATAATACTTGGGGAGTGACATTTGTTTTCTTCTGTGTGGCCTTTTGAGTTTGTGGCCTTTGATCACCAATGGAACATCTGATTGTTTTGCCCCGCATTTCTTTAATGAAGGTGACGTGGAGGGTATTTCGTATGTTTAAAGACATTTGCGTTTTCTGTGAACTGTCATGTCTGCTTCCTTTTGATAGAAGACTCCATCTTTTTATATTGATTTTCTTAAAACTCTATGTATGAAGTATGCGTCTATGTGTGTGTGTGAAGGAATGCATTCAGGTTTGTATGTGGAAGTCGGAGGGCAACTTGGGAGTCAATCCTTGCCTTCCACCTTATTTGAAGACAGGGTCCCTGGTTCACTGCTAAGCCCTACAAGCTAGCTGCCCCGTGAGCCTCTGGCCATCCTCTGGTCTGTCCCCCGTCTCGTGGAGGGGCCCCAGGGTGACAGATGGGTGGCAGTACACCCAGCTATGTGGTTTCTAAGGGTCCAAACCCAGGTCTTCAGGCTTGTGTGGCAAGTGCTGGTCCAAGAACCGTCTCCTTAACCCTTTTCACTGGTTTTTAAGAGCTCTTTGTATATGAGAGAAAGCAACCCTTGGTCTGCTGGTGCTGCATGGACTCCTCCCTGCTGGGAGCCATTTACTCGGATGATGATGATGGTGGTGGTGGTGGTGGTGGTGGTGTGTGTGTGTGTGTGTGTGTGTGTGTGTGTGTGAAGGTTTTAAGTTTGAACGCAGTCAAAAGTCTTTTCTTTGGTGGCTTCTGGACTTTGCGATTCTCCCCTTGAACTGTGAGAGGTCTGATGTGGTACTTTTGTGGGTTTGTGTCTGTCTGTATGTATGTGTGTGTGTGCGCACATGTGTATAGAGGCCAGACATGAACCCTGAGTGTCATTCCTCATGGGCCATGACTTTGTTGAGACAGGGCTTCTCATTAGGACCTGGGGTTCACTGGTTTGGCTAGGCTGGCTGGTCAGGGAACCTTAAAGATCTTTCTCTCCTGTCTTAGCACTGGGATTACAAGCATGTGCCACCATGCCTGATGTTTTTAATGTGGGTTCTGAGGATCAAATCCCCACATTTGTGTGGCAAGCACTTTGATGACCTTGGTGTCCCCCTAAATATTTTGGCCCACCTGGAGTTTGGTGGTCAGCTTTTTCCCTAATGGGCAGCTAACTGATCTAACATCAGCATTTGTCACCATGGGAGATCGGGTCTTTTATCAGCTTAGAACAGGGTGTCACAGCCCAGGCTCCTGTTCCTGTCCACCTTCCCTACCAGGTTACCGAGAGCGAGCCCAGTGTGATGTGGCTCTCAGGGCTGCACATACCCGAGTCCTACCTCACAGCACTGGTACAGGCTACATGCCGGAGGAATGGCTGGCCACTGGACCGGTCCACCTTGTTCACACAAGTGACCAAGTTCCAGGATGCTGATGAAGTAAATGAGCGTGCTGGGCAAGGTACGGTGAGGGTCACATACCTTGGTCTCCATTTGAGGCTTTCCTCCCAGGACCATCCCCCAGCTCAAAGGGACAAGCACTGTGTGGATCAGGCCATGCTTGAGCTGGGCTACCGCCTACAGTGCTATCTGTGGTATCTCAGAGAGCAGTTTCTCATTGGAGACTAGCACAGTCATGGTGGATGGCAGGGAGGCCTAACCATGCTAGTTTGTGACAAGTAGGCTCCCAGGTCAAGTGAGTTTTCAAAGAGATCCCTGAGTGGCTTTCCCTGAAGGGCGGAAGTGTGAGAGCCAAAGAACACATAGGCTAGCCAGGAGCCTGGTCTGGCATGCTCAACCTTTTTGTTTGTTTTGAGACAGGGTTTCTCTGTGTAGTTTTGGTGCCTGTCCTGGATCTTGCTCTGTAGACCAGGCTGGCCTCGAACTCACAGAGATCCACCTGGCTCTGTCTCCTGAGTGCTGGGATTAAAGGTGTGCGCCACCGGTTCCCTGCTCATGCCCAACCTTTTGACATTGTGATATGACACTACAAAGTTCCCACTTGAGAACTGCACAATCTAAAAATCAAGAAAAAACAAGACAAACAAAAACCCCAACCTCTCCTACTGTTTTAAGTAGGTCTGCAATTGTAAGGGCTGCAGTCATCCCTTTCCTCTGCCCATGGGATCCATCTGCTACAAGATGTGCTGATTTCAGCTCAGCCAGTAGCACTCTGACTACGCAGGTGCCAGCTGGAAACTGTTCCCCTAGCCAGAGTCCACTGAACTGCAAAGAACAGAAGCCCCTTGTATCTGGTTGAGAGTGGATTCATGGGCAAGTCTCGGGGACCCTCAGGTCTCGCTGGTGAGCATCCAGCTGCCACTCTGTGGGGCAGGTGGACAGTTTTTGCCTTTGGTGAGAGCGCAGAATCCTAACCACTATAGACCACCAGTAAGTTTTGATGTTCTTGCTTTTGGGGTCTCTGCATGCTAGAGACCACACTCCTCTTGGATTTCCCCCTTTGGTTCAGAGGATGCTGGGATTATCATGTGCCCGCTCTGAGCTGTGTGCCCTGAAGCCAGAGTCCAGGGAGAGAGGTGCCGTCTGGACCCACTTCCTTGGGGCCCTGTCTTCTGTCTAGCTATTCTTTCACACGGGGAAGTGGGGGCAGAGTTGAGCCCCCTCAGTGGCCTTTGTACTTGTCCTCTGTGTACATCTTTGAGAGGAGAGTAGCCCCACAAGACACAGATGCATCTTGTCACCCCCAGGGTGCTTTGTCTCGGGGCTCTACCTGGAGGGCGCTGACTGGGACATAGAGAGAGGGTGTCTCATCAAGAGCAAGCCCAAGGTGCTGGTGGTGGACCTGCCTATCCTGAAGATCATCCCCATTGAAGCTCACCGCCTGAAGCTGCAGGTGACAGTCACCTCCCTGGCCCCATGGTGCCTTCCCTCTCAGGGCGGGATAGGGAAGCCTTGGGGGGGCAAGATTAACGCTATGGGGCCAGTTCAGGGGAAAACACTCTGGCACACATGCATGTGGGTGTCCATCATCCACAGCGGTCAAGTCCAAGCTCAGAGCCGGGGGAAACTCCCTCCTTAGGAAATTCTGGACACACTATTTGAGTCAGAAAGTGGCGCCTTCTACTTTGCCTGGCTGGGGACCATCTTTGATGGTCTGTGGACCAGGCAGCACTGACCCAGCTACCCCATGGTGAAGTACTCAGTCTGAATCCCTCTAGTCACGAGCTGATGCCTCCAACCTTGAGGGGATGTCACCTGCCTTTCCCTTGTAGAACACCTTCCGGACCCCAGTCTACACCACCTCCATGAGGAGGAATGCCATGGGAGTCGGCCTAGTGTTCGAAGCTGACCTCTTTACCACGAAGCACATCTCACACTGGGTGCTACAGGGGGTGTGCCTCACCCTGAACTCGGATTAACCCCAGCACGCAGAGGACTACATGGAGCTACCATGCCTGTGGCAGGCCACACCGGTGCTGACGCCTCGCCAAGAATGGGAGACTGAGGTCGTTTCAGGGAGTTTCCCCAGGGGGCCAGGTGGAGTGGTGGAGGATGGTGTTTGATGCTGATTTTCCTTGCAGTTGAAATCAGCCATCTAAACATACTTTTCCATTAAATGAATCTTGTTTTGCAATGGGTTTTTGTGTGTGGATACATGTCCATCTTGTTCATTCCTCAAGTACTTTCCTTGTGTTTCCTGGCGCTTACTGACTTGCCAAAGCCTCAGGGTCCCTGTCTTCACCTCCCCAGGGCTGGGGGTCACACACAAATCTGCACCACCACACTTAGTTTTTGTTTGTTGTTTTTTAAGATTTTATTTCTGTGTATGTGTGTGAGCCTGCCTGAATACACGTGCACCACATGTGAGGTGTTGGGGTCCCTGGAGGTACAGCCAATTGTGAGCCGCCATGTGGGTGCTATAATCGGCAGCAGCGTCTCTAGCCTTAGCTTTGCTTCTCCATCATCTTCTCGAGAACTCTGGACACAGCACGCACCAGTGCAAGTTTTAAGGCAAGTGCATTCTCTTCCTGTTAAGCCACTGGTGTGGGGTTCTACCCGTCTTGGCTCCAGCACCTGCCCTTTGCGGGCAAGCGCATGGAAGGCTGCGGCTGCTGGGGCATGTGTTCAGTTCCTGCCCAAGCTCCAGACTCCCCCTCCCAGGGCCTCTGTGTGGCTTGGGCACAAATGGCTACTGGCTGTCTCTCTCATACTGTGAGGCTGGCCTGGCCAGCTGGGGACAGGGAGGCAGTGCGGAGCCTGGGCAGGACAGAACGCAGCTTCTGCCGGAAAGGCAGGACCAACACCTCACTCAGCAACAGCTCTGCGCAGCAAGCATCCCCACCCCCACCTGCTAGTCCTCCAGTCCCTCGGTGCTTCAAAAAGACAGAGGAGGAGGAGGGTGGGTTTAGAAAATAACATTTGTTGGATCCTGAACATTTGGATGAAACTAACAAAAAATTATCAACACACCTTCAGGTTGGGGTGACATGAGGGGTGAGGTCATCTTGCTTAGGTCATGTGACATACAGCTGCTCGGCAAAGGGGCTGTGGGAAGGTAGGAGTCTCCCAGTAAGGAGCAGAAGCTGCTGCTCTGCTCTGATAGGCTGCCCTGGATCTTGGGAGAGGCAAGTCCTTAGTTTGCTTTGACTTCAAGCGGTTCGGATTCTGAGTGTGGCATGTGATGCAGCCGTGGCCTGGGCCTTGTCTAGGACTGTGCCGAGATCTCATGGCGAGGGGCTGGAAGCAAGCTATTGGCATGCAGGCATTGGCCACAGTGCCAGTAAATATCTTCAGTGGGGACACCATCACAGCGTGTGTCACTATGGGCCAGGAGCCAGGCTGCGACGACGGGAGGAAACATTTGGCATGGGCAGGGCGAGGAAGGTGTGGGCGAGGTTCCCTGTGCCGGCAGCGGCGGCGCTCACAGTGCGTGGGTGGCTGCGGGGCTGGCCGCAGGCTTCACACAGTTCGGTCCGTCCCTGAGTGCTTCCGCACCACCTTCCCTGTGCTTACTTGGTCCACAGCCCTCGTCTCCCCCTCAGGCTGGGCCTGGGGCGGACTGGCGTGATGGATGCGATGAGCCACCCCGACATGGGTCTTGTGTGGCTTGTCTCGGGCTGGGCTATGTTGCCCGCTGGCGCCACGGTCTGAGGCGATGGGAGGTATGACCAGAGGCCGCTCCTTGAGCTGGACCTCAGCAGACTCCCGGGCCAGCAGGAATGGGGTGGGATCTGGCATCGCATCCACCGGCTCCCGCAGCAGGAGTTTGCGGCTCTCGGCTCCGAACCTGTACACCTCCTCAAACTCAGGGTGCAGTGGGGCCGACAGGCTCTTCTTCATCCGGCGGCGGGGTGTCTCCGGCAGCTTGTCCTTGGGGGGTGTGGGCTTGTAGCTGGCCAGTGCAGGGCCGCCGGCTGGGCTGGCGTCAGAGGGGCCGCTGGAGCTCAGGAGCTTTTTCTTGGCTGCATGCAGCTGCGAGGTGAGGTAGGCCACGGTGCTGGCGCGCTGCTCCAACTCGCCGGAGAGCATGCTCAGCTTGTGGCTCTTCACCTTCAGCTCCTCCAGGTACTTCTTCTCCCTCTCACGGACGGTGTTCTCCAGCACAGCGATGGCAGCGTTCTTCTGCTCCAGTTCTTGCAGTAACTTGTGGTTTTCTTCCTCCTTGGCCTTCAGCTGGGCCTCCAGCTCTTCACAGCGCCTCTTGAGCTCCGTTGTTCTGGAAGAGCCGTCTCCTGCAGGAACAAGTCAGGTGCCACGTCAGAGCCTAGCAGAGGAAGGAGATGCTCGTGGCCTGTGTGGAGGGCCCCGCGAGGAGCCCTATGGTAGGCCCTGGCCCCACTAAAGGCGAATCAGGGGGTCTCGAGGCCCCTCCCAGCTCTTGGCTCCCTGGCTTACTGCGTAAAAGAATGTCTCCAGAATCTGAAGGTGCTGAGGTTAAAACAGCTTGAGCGTCAGCTGAAGTCAGCGTCTCTGGAGTGCCAGCTCTACAAGTGAAGGGTGTCAGACATGTCCCTCAGGCCTAGACCCTGCTTTCTGTCACCTTCATTCTCCCAGCCGCCCCAGTCTAGAACCTGCCCTCTCTGCTCCTCTGGTGCTGGCAGCCTGCTCTGCTCTGCTCTCCTCTCCGATCGTCTGGCCTCCTTCCCACTGGGTACCACCATCTCCCAGGCCTCCTTCAATCTGCCCTGCTCCCTTCTTCCTCCCGTGGCCAACAAGCTGCCAGTCTGACAGTCCATCTGTTCCATGCCTTCTGCACCCACATGAACCCTGAGCTGCCCGTCTCCGTGTTTCTTCTGTGTTGTGACCACTAGAGTTGATTCAACTCCAGATCTGTGCATCCACAATCTGCCGACAGCCCTGCAGTGCCCGTGGGTTCTGGGAGCATACTGCACCTCCCTAAGCCGGCAGCTTCAGGTAGACTCTGAGCTATTAAGAAGCCCCACGGGCGAGTGTACACTGCAAACTCACTGCAGGTGAACACAGACGTGTGTGTGTGTGTGTGTAGAGAGAGAGAGACTGAATCAGCAAATGTTATCCCTAGAAATGATGCAGTGCGAGTCTTGGGTTTTTAGCCATAACCAAAACACCCCCCCCCCCCCCAGCACTAGATTCTCCAGTTCAGTGAGGAACCGCAGCCCAGGCATCGGGTTTGACATCCACGCTCGTCCTCCACACACCTGCAGATGGGCCCTCCTTGGCCCTACCTCCGAGCATGACAGACCTATCATCTCAGGCCTTTGGCTGCATCCCAGCCAGACAGAACATTCTGGAATCCGTGTCCTCAGGGAATGCTAGGAGGGCTGAGGGCTGACAGACTCCCTGGTGCTGGTCACAGACAGACACAGTCCTTGACAGTCACAGGTTCTGGGCCATTACAGACTGTCAGAGGCACACAGCCTGGTCCCAGCAGAACAAGAAATCCAGGGCTCCTCGGTAAGGTGCTTTTTTTGGCTTCCTATCCCTAGGAGGCCTGGGCAAACATTGTCCTTCCCTGAAAATGACCGAGCGACCCAGCTGTCTGCTATCCAGTGCAGTCTTGGCCAGATCTAGCAGGTGCTTCTGGGAGGTGCTGGTACCCCAGTCCTCTACATCATCCTCTCTAGAAACTTCTGACATCCATTCTAGTCCACAGCCCTCTGCTCCCCACTGAGCAGTACTGCTTGAGTCTGTGTCACTGGGCACTCAGGTGTGTAGACCACATGGGAGAGACTCCGGATCCTTTCTGACCTGCCTTCTGAGCTTGTGCGTGATGTGCCCTGAACCGAGCACTAGTTTCACCCCGAGGATGGGACATGCCCCCACAAAACCCAGAGGCTTTTCAAACCGCCCCCTCTGCTGAAGTAGCACCTCATACACCTTTGACAAAAGCCATGCTGCTGCTGAGGGTGTCCTAAAGGGGTGATGAGGGGACTTGAGACAGAGGCTCCAGAGCTGCTGCAGACTAATCTGGGCAAAAGGGGGAGGTGTGAGGATACCCTGGCTCCACAGCACGGGCATGTCACGGTGTGTGTGTGTGTGGGTGTTGTGTGTGTGTGTGGGGGGGACGACAGACCAACCACAGGTTGTAACTCTATCCTGAGTTGCTGCCTGTGTTCCTGGCAGACAGGACTCGGGTGTCTTTGTTCTGTGGAGATTTTGGTGGTTAGGCTCCCGCTCCAAGGCCTATGAAGCCTGACAAAACCACGACAGGAGTGCTCAGGAGGAGTGCTCAGGAGTTACCCAGGGACAGAGTAACAAATGCTCAGTGATGGGACCTGAGGCTTCAACGAGGACTGGACTCTCATGAGAGCTTAGTTAGGGGAAAGGTCTTCCCAGATATACCCTTCAGTCCCAGCAGGGTGCTAAGGAACAAGCCATTCTCCCAGGCCCAGAGCTCCTAGAAGACCCCGTCTCTGTCATATCTCTGGCCACCACTGGTTCGCTATACTCTTGGGGTCCCCGATGAGTCGCACTTGGGAAGCGTATCTAGACTGCAGTCCAGAGAAAGAAGGTCTCAACTCGTGGACCCACAGCCCTCCCCCCACATGGAGCACTGTGGCTGTGGGTCAGGCCTTGGGTAAACTCTGGAGACTGGGGGAGGGGCTTCTGCCTAGCTGTCACTTCTCCTTTCTGGCAAGTCACACTGAGGTTTATTTCTGGATTACAGAGGGATATACTGTCATGGTAGAAAAGCTAGAAAATTCTCAAAAGTACGTAACAGACATTCTAGACATATGTATCAATGGGAAGTGAAAAAAGCCACTCATCACTCCAGCCCACAGGTGTCTGAGGGCACAAACTTGTCTTTGCGCAGGGAAAACCACTCTTACTGTAAAAGGGAGGCTAAGCACGTGACCAGTGGGCATACGTTGCCAGGAAAACAAGATGCACCCACATGTGGGGAGGAGCTCTTACCTGTCACTTCGAAACTTTTGAGTGTCAGCTCATAGGTTAGATCTACAAAGGAAACATGACACACTGATTATCGTGATGTACCTCACATCAGTTCTGAAAACAGCCCCAAATTCCAGCTGAGTGAGTGCTACCATGTAGAAGCAGGGCTGGCAGTTCCAGGATCCATGTAAGAAACACGGGGTCAAGGTTCCTATCGGGGCTGCACGAGGACCTGTGCCTCGAGAGTTCCCTGCCTCACCTTCCTCGCACACACCCCAAGAGCACAGCAAGCGAGGGAGCAGCTGCCCCTGGGACTCTTCTAGGGCAGGGCAGCAGCTGAGTGCTCAGAGCTTCCAGGATGCTGGCTGGGTGGTGGGAAGACTTGCAGGGGTGTAAGTGGGGAGGGGCCTGGCGCACCCCCCCAGCAGACTGCCCCCCGACAGCAGCTGCAGCCTGCCCCCACCTGTGCAGTGCTGCTGCAGCCGCCGGATCTCAGCGTGGAGCCCCTTGAGTGTGCTGGCATGCTCCCGCTGGAGGAAGAGCAGGTTCTTCTGTGCGCTGTGCAGCTGGTTCTCCAGGTTGGTGGCTGCCATGCTGACATCCAGGTGACCTGCAGGAAACACAAAAGCATGGGAGTTGCAAGGAGGTGGGGCTCTGGGTACATGTCACGGGAATATACAGGGAGCAGGTGAGGTCGTGGGGCTCCAGGGCCCCCTTCTGATGAGCACCTGCCACATGCCAGGCCTCTGTGAGAACCAGCTGAGGGCATGAGTAGTGCCCAGTCCAGGACTCAGCTGCTGCTCCTTCCTGGAGAGGGAGAGACTCGGAAGGAAGACTGAAGGGTCAGTAGGTATGGAGCAGGCTTTATTGAAATTCAGGTCTCGTCTTTCCACTGTCCTGACTTCTGTGGCTAGCCCAAAGCGCCCCCAAGAGATTCCATAACTAGGAGGCAATAATGCCCCACAGAGAACCTGGGGCCAGGACCACCTGCAGTGGGCTCTTAGGCACATTACCTGGGAGCTACTGAGGTGAAGAGAAGACGAGGAGGAAGGAGAAATCCATGGCTACAGAAGTATGGGGTCCTCAGGCCCTGCCCTCAACTACAGCTGGAGTAATGTGAAGTCAGACCATCTTTCTAGAAAAACTAAGGGATGTGGCCCAGCACTGGGACACACCAAGGACAGAACACAGTCACTACAGCTCTCGGTGACTTCCCACAGGCCCTTCCTGAAGGAGCCCCCTCTCCAGGGCCCCTGGGGTCTGCTCAGCACGGGACTGTGGTGGCAGGGCACACCGCTGTCATCAGTTGAGGAGCCGTGTTCACCACTAAGAACTGTTTCCAGTGGACTTCAGCCAGGCCTGCCTTCCCTCACACCATCTGCTGAGGCAGCCAGGCCCCACCCAGCTCTGCCTGCAGGAGAGTTGACAAATGCTCAGAAGGAAAAGAAAAGTGACTGGCAGGGCCAAGGAGACAATAACACATCCTAGCAGGACTACGGTGACAAAAAACAGGACACCTGAGTTAGGGGGACATGTCAAGAGAAAGCAGCCCGGGACAAGGACCAAAGTTTGGTCTGGAGGGCATAAGCTGGTGAGCTCCATCTGTGGAAGAAGCCACTAGCCAAGGCATGTCAGCAGCCTCAGCAACCAGCCGCAGGGCAAGGTGGACCCTGCAACTCAAGATCCCAGTACTGTGTGCCAAGTGCATGGCCTTGGAAGAAGGCACTGACCATATCAGAGGAGCCAGTACAACCAAGGCCAAGTGAGCAGTGACATGTGAGGAACGGTCCCTGGGCCTGCACCCACAGTAGGAGCCTCAGTCAGAAGGGCAGCCCAGCCTGCTGTCTGGGCCTCCGTCATGGCAATGGTCTCCTGCACTCAGAAGCACTTCGTGCTCAACCTGGCAGGAAGGAAGTCTGGGGCCACCTGGACCCGTGTGCTTGGTGTCTGCAGGCTGGGGAGGGGGGGAGAGGCCTGACAACCGTGCTTGCAGAGGACAGGCTCAATTCCATGGTCCTGTGAGCTCAGGGAAAGCCGAGCCCAGGTTTCAGGACTTGCAGGTCTAGGAACACAGGGCAGCAACCTGGGCCTAGCATGAGCGCACACAAGTGCCATCCCCATTCTGACCCAGCTCCCCCATGCCATCAGCCAAGCCTCCACTGCTGTCAGGCCTGCACTTGTCTTGGTGACCCGTCTGCATTCAAACTCGCAAGGCCATTCTGTGTCCTGACTGGCCTGCTCCATCTTCCTCTCACTCGGCCTACGTAGATGGACTGCCTCCGTCTCCTCTCTCTCCTCTTCCACCTCCACACAGGGGCTGGGGGGGTGGGGACGTTTTAGGTCCCACTCCCTGGCTCTCTCTGGAGCCCAGTGCACGGGCAGCAGCGCAGCTCTCTTCAGAGCCTATCAGAGGTGTCCAACGGCAGGACAGCCCTCCGCACCCTCCTCCGTCTGCCCTCCCAGGGTCTCCAAGGTCTCAGCCGAAGCCCTGCTGCTTTCCAAGGCCCAGCCTCAGAGGAGGGAGGCTGTGTGTCTCACATCCCTGGCCACTGTCCTGGAGTGGGTTTATAGGCATGTGTCTCTTGCCTTTATCCTTGCACGGCCTGCAGGCTTGTCCCTGCCTCGACCTAAGCCCAGTCCAGTGCCTGCACCCAGGAGGCCACGGTGAACACCAGTGGTGACCTACAAGCACCAAGGCCCATGTTGGCAGGGGCTTCCTCCTCAGGTCTGTAACTCACAGGCACGCATGCCCAGAGAAACTGTGTACTTTAATAGTCTAAACTTTAAGACATCTCATGTAGCTCTGAGAGAATATCGTATCTACACAGGGAGTCAGATACTTGCTTTTATAATCTACACTGGGCCCCTCAGTGGCCACCCTGTCCCAATATCCGGGTGGTAGGTAAGTTTTATTTGAAACCCATTTAAGTATGGTTTATGGAACTGATCCTATTTGGATTGCCTTAGGGAATCAGTGCTTGAACCTAACTCTGGACTCAAGAATTCACGGTGGTCTTGCTGCTACAGTTATTACCCTAGAACAAACCCAGGTGTGCAAGGAGTGCCATGCACTACCAGGGAGGCTTGCTGGGCCCGGAAATATGAATGTACTCTGACATTAGGACAAGGACTTTCAGCCCTGTGGTAGTCCTGACTGTCTAGGTCCCCTTATGTCCCTCCTCTGGGATGCCCTAATAGGCTCCAAAGAGGAGATCTGTCTATGCAGGTGTATGGGACTGAATTGTGTCGAGATGGCTAAGTGACTTTCTCACCATCTGGGCAGGATGGTAGTGCTACTGAATCCATAGGGGAAGGAGCTGCATAGCTTGAGTCAATGATGTTATTCTTCTCCTGAGCTACTGATCCCATACCACCATTAGAGATGGTATGCCGGACTTGAAGCTGGTCCCCAAGCAACTTCAAGAGTCAGACCCATGGGAAAGGGTACACTGCTGGGTCTGGAACTGGTTGGTATAATGGATGGAGTCAACTGTGGGTTTTCTGCAGATGGCTAATAGGTCCCAGGCTACCTCCTCTGAGCATCCTGCCGATACTGCCATTCTGTGTGGTGAGGGCACCACCCTGCTCATGGCTCTGAACTGTGGTCTTTGCCCCAGGGTGATTCAACTGTTTCTGCGCCCCTGAGAGCCACCAGCAATTTCACAGCTCTGTGCAGGCAGTGGGGGCTAGACACTAGTCCCCTTCTCCTGGAGACTTTGCCCTCAGTTGCAGGTAAGGTTCCAAGCCACTCTCATTACGACGGGCCTGGCCCAACCCCTGTGAATGCACACACATCTGTAGTCTCTCTCCAGACAGCTCCAGCGGTGGGAACAGGTGGCCTTTAACAAGGCTACCTTGACTGACTGGAAGGGTGAGGCACGCAGACACTTGCTGCAGTTACCTCACTGGCACCACGGAGCACCATCAGTTCACATCGTCCTCTCTGCACTCAGCAGACCTACGGGGAAGTCACTGTTTGTTCTGCAGCGGGCTATAGAGACCAGCTGCAGTAGCTCCCAGGGGAACTGCGCCACCATTTCTGGGGATAACTTGACACTAATGAAGGCCTTGGTGGCTAAGGACCCTGTCTGCATCAGTTCCTGCCATCATTAAGACATAAGGCCTGTCAACAGCCAAGCCCGATGCCCATCCTGACCCCCAGGTGCAGGCTGCCTCTTAGCTCCAGGGCACTAAGATCTTCCTTCTGGAGCATGCTGCACCAGAACTCTGTCACCGGCTCTCTCTGGCAGTCCTCTCTGCAGGACAGAGGATACTCTACTGAAACAGGGAAGCCAAGAAATGGCCCTGAACCTGGCAGTCCCCCTCAGCCTTAGGGTCTGCAGCAGTAACCTTCAAGGCTGGGCAGATGTGGATGTCCACAGGAAGGCAAAGCTTTCTGTAGTACACATCCAACCTCTGACAAAGTGCACAGACAAAGCCAATCTGATGTAACGCAGCTCCAGAGGAGACTGGATGACTGTTCTCCTGCAGGGTGGAGGCCAGGCACTGTGCCTGTTCTGATGACCAGACATGGCTCTCCACCCTCTGGGTTTCCCGTCCATTCCCGAGACAATCACGAACCAGCCCTGCTTTTAACACAAGAAAGTGAGCAAAAGCACAGCCTTCTGGGCCTCACCAGCACTGCTGCAAAGTAAGGCTGCTTTAGGAAAACTAAGAGGAACCCCACCCTCAGGATGTGTGTCCTCATGCCCTGGATACCAGCAGGAATGGCCAAGGGCCTGATGCACACTCACCCTCTCTGTCCCACAGCCAGAGCCTCTGGAGACTGACTCAGCACAAGATGTCCTGGGCCAAAAGTAGCGTTCTGCTCAGCAATGAGCTGCCACACACCATTTGGGTATGCCTATGAGGGGGAGACCCACAGCCAGGTCCAGATATTCCCTTCCAAAACATATCCTTTTATAGCATCCCCCTGTGCACACACTCACCTGGCCTACATTTTCATGGCAAGCGTCTGATGCTCTGGCCAGGCTGCACCTCCCCAGCCTTGTCCCTTCAGGTCCCCAATATGCTCGTAGTGCATCACCACAGCACCCCTTACCCTCTTTTATCTGCCACACCCTGCAACACAGGGCCTTTGCACACCCTGTTCCCCTCTGTCTGGACTACTCTAGGCAACCCCTCCTTCTGCCCTCTTTCTCCTCTCCCCCAAGAACTCATGCATTACGTATGCATTTCAGATAATTTTATCCTGCTCCACCATGGGCTGAGGAGAGGCTGGGCCCGTTACCTCCCATTAATCAAAAAGCACTGCGGCAGCATTGATCTGAACATGACCTCATCCCACAAAGTCTCGACAGCCTGAGAAGATATTTTAAAGCAGCTACATTTAGCAGACGAAGAGAAATGAGTATCTTTGGGGGAGGGGTCTCATTTAAACACAGCCTCTGGGCTATCCAAAGCAGCCTAATTCACAAAGCCTGGAGGTAACGATTTCAGAATATGAGAACAGTGCCTAGTGTGACTGAAGATTGGTTAGAGCAAGCTATTATTGAATCTACTCATCAATTAGTTATAGCTCATCTGCAGTGGGTTCTCTCTCCCTGAAGGACGGATACACTGTCTCCCCAACTTACTGAAAGGACCTGT